GAAGAGAAGAGGAGAAGAGGAGGGGGAAAGGAGAGAATAGGGGGAAAGGGGGAGAGGAGAGGTGGAAGAGGAGGAGGAGATGGTAGCTTTGTAAGGAGTGGAGGAAGGAAGAAGAGGAGGAGGAAGAGAAGAGAAGAGGGGAAGAGGAGGGGGAAAGGAGAGAATAGGGGGAAAGGGGGAGAGGAGAGGTGGAAGAGGAGGAGGAGATGGTAGCTTTGTAAGGAGTGGAGGAAGGAAGAAGAGGAGGAGGAAGAGAAGAGAAGAGGGGAAGAGGAGGGGAAAAGGAGAGAATAGGAGGAAAGGGGGAGAGGGAGAAGCGCCCCTCCCTTCAGAGGAGCCCCCTCCCCGCGGGGGAGGAATGGGGAGGGGGGGTGAGGAGCAGCCCCCTCCCCTCCTGCGACCCCCCCCCCAGGACCCCCGAACCCGGCGCGCACCTGCCCGGCCGCCTCCGCCTCCTGCCCGGCTCAGCCCCGCGCTTCCCGCCTGTGGGCGGCGGAGGCTCCGGAAGCGGCGTCGGCAAGGCCGTCCCTCCGTCCTCCCCGGGGCTGCTCGGCTCGGCTCTCCTTCCTCTGCCGGCAGGGAGGAGGGAGAGCAGCGGCTGGAAGGCCCCGGAGGTCCCCCGGGGAGGAGGGGGCTCTCCTCTCCTCCTCTTCCTCCTTCTCCCCTTCCTCTCTTCTTTTCCCCTCTCCTTTTCTTCTTCTCTTCTCCCCTACCTCTTCTTCTTTCTCTCCTGTTCTTTCTCCTTTTCCCCTTCTTCGTTCTCCTTTTTCTCCTCTTCCACTTCTTCTTTCTCTTTTTTCCTCTCCTCTTTTTCTCTTCTCCTCTTCCCTCTCCTCTCCTTCTCCCCTGCCTCCTGCCAACTCTTCTTCTTCCTCTCTTGTTCTCTTTCTCCTTTTCCCTCTCCTCCTTTTCCCTCTCCTGTTCTCCTAATCTCCTTCTCCCCATATTTCTCCTTTTCCCTCTCCTCTTCTTCTCCCCTCCTTTTCTTCCTTCTTTTCCCTCTCCTTTTCTTCTTCTCTTCTCATCCCTCTCTTCTCCCTCTCCTTTTCATCTTTCTCTTCTCCCCTACCTCTTCTTCTTCCTCTCCTGTTCTTTCTCCTTTCCCCCTTCTTCGTTCTTCTTTTCCCCTCCTTTTTCTCTTCTCCTTTTCCCTCTCCTCTTCTCCCTTTCTCCTTCTCCCTCTCCTTCCCCCTTTCTTTTCCCTCTCATTTTCTTCTTCTCTTCTCCCCTGCCTCCTGCTACCTCTTCTTCCTCTCCTGTTCTTTCTCCTTTTTCCCTTCTTCGTTCTCCTTTTCCCCCTCCTTTTTCTCTTCTCCTTTTCCCTCTCCTCTTTCTCCTCTGCCTCCTGCTAACTCTTCTTCTTCCTCTCCGGTTCTTTCTCCTTTTTCCCTTCTTCGTTCTCCTTTTTCCCCTCCTTTTTCTCTTCTCCTTTTTCTCTTCTCCTTTTCCCTCTCCTCTTTCTCCTCTGCCTCCTGCTAACTCTTCTTCTTCCTCTCCTGTTTTCTTTCTCCTTTCCCCCTCCTTTTTCTCTTCTCCTTTTCCCTCTCCTCCTGTTCTCCTAATCTCCTTCTGCCTGTATTTCTCCTTTTCCCTCTCCTCTTCTTCTCCCCTGCCTCCTGCTACCTCTTCCTCTCTTCTCCTTCTCCCTCTTCTTTCCCCTCTTCTCTCTTCTCTTTCTCCCTCTCTTCTCCTTCACCTTCCCCCTTCTCCTATTCTTTCCTTCTCTTTCTTCTAGCCCTCCTCCTCCTCCTCCTGCCTCAAGCATCTCCAGCCGCTGCCACATCCTAAGACATCCTTCTGACCCATAACGCAGAAAATGGGATCGTAGAAGAGACCTTGGAGGTCCTCTAGTCCAACCCCCTTGCTCTAAAGGAGAGACCTTGTGGCGTTCAGGATAAATGGCGGTCCATCCTCTTCGGGGAAAACCTCCAGGGGTGAAGCCCCCCGCAATGACCGTCCCATTTTGGACTGGCCTTCCTTGACTCGGGGGCTATTTCTGGAAGAGCATCTTTTCGGATTCAAAAACTTGGACCTTTGAATGAAATGGATCTGCCCAGAAAAGATCCCACCAGATTCCAGATTTTGGCCCCTCCCAGCAGGGAAACAGCTACCAGGAATCCCATTGCCTGCATGTTTCCTCAAATGGCCTTTTGGGAGGGGGGGGGCAGTGTCTGGTGTCATTTTCCACATCCACAACCACCAGGGAAATCTAACCCAGTTAGCATCAGACCGAGATCAGCAGCTCACGCGAAGGGGGGTTCAAGTCAGCTTGCAAAATGCCAAGTTTTTAATTCTGCAGAAAGCCAGCTTGTTTTTAGAGGGAAGAGTATCTAGCATGGGTTACCACTAGGTGGCAGCAAATAGACGCTTAAAAAAACACCCCGATCTACTTGCGCCACCTGGTGGAGGAACCGGCCATTTACACACAGCGGTGTTTGCAACCTGCAACTTGGAAAAATTGAGCTGGTCCTTGAGTTACAACCGGAACGGAGCCCAAAATTTATGTGCGCTAAGTGAGACATTTCACAAGTGAGTTTTGCCCTACTTTATGACCTTTCCTTCCACAGCTGTTAAGTGGATCACTGCAGTTCTTTAGTAACACATTTGTTAAGTGAGCCTGACTTATTCATGGATTTTGCTGGTTGCAAAGGGGGAAATCATGTGACTCCGGGACATAGCAACCGTCATAAATAGGAGTCAGTTGCCATGCCTTTCAATTTTGATGATGTGGGGATGCTGCAACGGTCGTTAAGTGTGAAAAATGGTCATAAGTCACAATTTTCAGTGATGTTATCCCTATGAATAGTCACTAAGTGAACTGTCATAATTTGAGGGCTACCTGTATGTGCCCAAAGACATATTTGACAGGTCGGCAGTTCGAATCCCCAGCGCCGCGTAACGGAGGGAGCTCCCGTTACTTGTCCCAGCTTCCGCCAACCTAGCAGTTCGAAAGCAGGTAAAAAATGCAAGTAGAAAAATAGGAACCACCTTTGGTGGGAAGGGAAGAGTGTTCCATGCGGCTTCAGGAGTTGAGTCATGCCGGCCACATGACCACGGAGACGTCTTCGGACAGCGCTGGCTCTTTGGCTTTGAAGCGGGGATGAGCACCGCCCCCTAGAGTTGGGAATGACTAGCACAGATGTGTGAAGGGAACCTTTAACTTTACCTAGCAGCAAAAATGGAAGAACTATCTATATATGTTTTATTTTCATTTTCATTTCATACAGTCACATATATACTGTGCATGACTGGGGCCATATAACA